TCTTGCTTCCCTTTTATTGGAGTGGTACAATGGCTATATGGTCGTTAGCTGCTCGTTTCCCCACAGCACATAGAAATCCCATCTGCTGCCAATAAAGAAAACTTCCCAGCATTCCCATCCTTTCTGTGTTATTAGACTAACCATCAAAACTGTGTTTGAACACACACCATCAGCTGTGTTTAGGGCTTTATTCCGCCAAGCAGTACTTCAGCATATTATTTTCTGAAGATTTTTACCCCAGGTATTTCATCCCAGCTCAGCCAGGCCACTGACCTCTGGAAGGCAACAGCAGCATCCTAAATGAGCTTGCTTGCTAAATGGAACAAGCAATGGAGGCTATTGGCATGAATTAGAAACAGTCACAATTGCTAGTAGCGTTGGAAACCTTTCGCTGCTCCTAGGTGCAGCCTCAAATGGCAGGTTGTCACACTGTCAACTATCCGGTGTCTTTCCTACACAGACTGAGCGTAACACAGCAGGACCGGCAAAACAAATAAAGAGCTGCCTCACGAATGTGACACCGAGAACCAGGGCAGATTCTTTTGAAAACCAGGGCAGATGTTGATGATTTACCTGGAGCTTAATAAATCACCCCCTGTTGCACTGGCTCCTTTTCCAAACTAGTGAGATCTCAAGAGGGATTGTCTGTATAGTGGATCTGGGGCAGGTCAGAGCAAAATCCCAGAAATTTGGCTTCCCTAAGCAGTGGCACTGTTTGGGGGGGTAAGGCCTGAACCACTGCTTAAACTACTACTATTTTTTTTTTTTAAACAAACCCACTCCTCATATCGAGTTTCTGTGGTGGATTAAAGGGGGGGGCGGGATTTGGAAATTGTAAGGAGGCCCCGCTGAGAAGTTGCCAGGAACTGCGGACTGAGCATTAAAGAAGCCAAGAAGGTGAAGGTGGGTGCTGGTTACATTTGCAGACACTGCAACCCCTCGCCATGGGCCGGGGGGGAGGCGAGAACAGCCTCCCGTTCGCTTGCAGAACGCTGAGACACGCGCCGAACGCTGCGGAGCCCAACGTTCCATCGCCGCTGCCCTCGGCTGCTCCCAGCCCCCTGCGCTCGTCTCACCTGACTCCGCGCCTCTGCCAGCCGCCCGGCTTCCTCCCCTGTAACGCGTGTGCGGAAGCCGGAACTGGTCCCTACTTCGCCCGTCTCGGCTCCACACGCAACCACTCTCCAGGCAGTCTCTGAGGTTCCGGGAGGCAGCTGCGGCTGGATCTCTTCTTCTGTGCCTCGGCCGGCCCCTACTGCTAGCTCGAGAGCAGCAGCCAGAGCTGCTGCAAAAGTCAGTGTGACTTGCATCCACCCAAAGCTCCCTTTAATTATCTGCAGCAGGGACGGCATCTCTGGTGCATCTGAGAAATACAAAAAATAAATAAAGTGTGTGTGTGTGTGTGTGTGTGTGTGTGTGTGTGTGT